CCGGTACGAAAAAAAAAAAAAAAAAAAAAAATCCTAGCTTTCTGCTTTCTCCTAGAACAGTTTTCACACGCTGTTCCACTCACATTTTGTGCACAGTAATTACTTGTTTCTGGCAGGGGAGGCACAAATGACTTACACACTGTAAGAGGTTTAGCCACATCTCTCACCCTCTCCAACTAGATGCTAGTAACACTTCCTCAGCTGTGAGGATCAAAACTGTCTTCAGACACTGCCAAATGTCCTGTGGGGGCAGCACTCCCATAGAGAAGCAACATCTCAGGACAACGTTATCACAATCTTTGTGGTAACACTCCATATACACTTCTAATATTTTTTTTCTTTTTTCTTTATGGGTACACTTTAGGCATACTATACAGTTACATTCATCATTGGGATCCTGTACTTTGCATGATCTATCTTGGTTCTTATTTTTCCCCATTCCCCTGTTCCCCCGTCACCCCCTCTATCCTTCCCTATTTACAGAGACTTTGTTTCCATTCTTTTCCTTTTCTCTTATTTTTTTCTTTTCCCTTCTTAGCTTTCCCCTACACCTTTAGACATTTTTTCCTATTACAGAGTATCAATTATATCTAGTATTTATTTTAACCATCTTTTGGAAATGGAGATAACAGCCATAGAAAGTACCTAAAACATAATGATTACAAATATCTGTAACTGCCAGACATGTCAAGAGAGTGTTAATATCACCCCAGGAGTTCCCCAACCCCAAATGTTCCTCCAACCAAAGGTGTCACAGCACTGCCTTCATGGTGGAGTACTCTCGCCCTGTTCTTCAGAATAATTTGGCCATCTAAGCATAGCAGTTTAATATTAGAGTGCAGCCTGGTATTTGCAGTTCATGTAAGTAGAACCACACTGGATACAGATCTCTGAGTCCATCTTCTTTCAGTCAACATTAAGTCACAGAGCCCTCTATACTAGGGAATGAACTATTAATCTGTGGGCCAAATAGAACTGGCCATGTGCTTTTGTAAAGTTTTATGGGGACACAGCCACCCACATTTACTTGTTCACATACTGTCTTATGGCTTTCACTCTCCAACAGCCAAACAGAGCAGCTGTGACACAGACCCTGTGATCTCCAAAGTATTTCTACCTAGCCCTTGACAAAAAAATTCTACAAATACATGTTTAACTATACTACATTTTATTCACACTTATAAAAATGGCTGTGTATTTTTCTATTCTACTGGTGGGAGCTTCTGATTACTGTCAATTGGAAGATACTGCAAATAGTATCCCTGCATTCTAGTTCACATCTTGCAAGGCACAGGTGCACAGGCATCTGCTGGCTAAGAGTAAAAGGCCATTAGCTTATCTCTGTAGGAAGTCCACATTCCACATTTTCAGCAGAACTTGCCATTGCCACTCTTCCTAATTCCAATAGGTATGCCACGGTATCATGTTGTGATATTATACTGCATTGTCCTGATGACCAATGTGAAGTGTGCCCTGTCACCTGTTTCTTGGGCACATGGATAGCCTCTTCTGTAAAATACCTGATAAAGACTTATCTCTGCCAGGGGCAGTGGCAGTGGCAGTGGCACACACCGGCAGTCTCAGCTAGTTGGGAGGCTGAGGCAGAAGGACTGCATGGGCTCAGGAGTTCAAGGCAGAACTGCATGACACTTGGGCAATGTGAACCTCCATGAATTAAAAGGTGAAGCAAACCCCAGTAGGAAGATAAATATAGAAAAGGCTTCTCCACTGAACCTCTGCTGGCTGTTGCTTATGGCCCCACTTGGTATTTCTTTCTTACCTGTATTTAAAAACCATCCTTTCAGGCATATTCAAGCATCGCATAAAGACAACTTCACTATGTAAGGTGGAAACTGAATGCATTTATCTTGCCATTCTCCAATGGTGAATGGGGAAAGAAAGTGTCTGTGATGACCAAAGGAACATTCAATGAAAGCACCAACAAAATGTACAGAACCGAGTATCTGTAAAATTTCAAATGACTTTCAGCTATATAATGCCTTCTGTATAGAGTTGATACAAATACACTGAAAACTATGTTTCCTCTAAGTTCAATGAATTTTCCCTACCTGTAGTTTCCTGCCCATGGCAAGTGTTCAGCTCAGCCAGAAGCTGGTTAAAATCATCCTGATGAGCAATCCAGTTGTCCTGAAAATACCAAAAAGAGTGAGAGACAAGCCTATAGTTGACCAAGCCTGACTGAGACATCTTTTATTTACTTATTTAACACTAAAAGAGCTTTTTTGTTGTTGTTGTTAGTGTCACATAAAAAATTCAAGCATGCTACACTATCTAAAAACTACAAAGAATGCATTTTAATAAAGAAACCCTTCTCTCATCCCACCACCTCCTGGCTGAGTTTATTGCCCTCATGAATTAAAATTGTAAGAGAAATAACCACAAAATAGTTTTGTGGAGTCTTTTGTCTACAGTGCTTTCATGATGATTAGGTTAATATTATTTTCCTATGCATACTGAGGATATACTCTTAAGTGAAATAAATAAGTCACATATATGTAAATACCAAATAGTTTCGCTACTGTGAAAAACTATAGTTGTACATAAGATCCTAATGGTATAACTGACAATGTGAAATAGGAAGAAAAGGGCTAAAGGTGTAGGGGAAGTGGGAAGGGTAGGGGATAGGAAATAAGGGAAAAGAAAAAATATGAGAAAATGAAAACATGGAAATAAAGTATTTGTAAATAGGGAAGGGAGGAGGGAGTGAAGGGAGGGCAGGGTTAAGGGGAAAAAATGAGTACCAAGATCTGTCATGTAAAGGTACAAGATCCCAATGATGAATGTAACTGTACTGTATACCTAAAATGTACCAATAAACTCAATGAGGAAAAAAAATTATCTTCCTAAAAATTTTATTCTTTTCTTAACAAAATTTTTAACAGATTTCTGATCACAAAAAAATCAGTATAAAAGTTCAATGTATCGAAAAGCACCCCAGCACTATTATACCAAATGTAGAGCAGATTGCCAATCTAGATGGAACAATTTTCAATTTATACCCAGACACAGTGCTTTATTTACCCTCTTCTCCCCTTCTCTTAAGAACTTAGCAACAACAAAAACCCCACATAAGCCCATATTTTAAAAAAGGCAAAAAAATTTGAGGGACCTTTCCAGAGTACATAGTTCAGCATCAATAATTCACATAATGCAACAAAGTGTATGGATAGGATTCTTTTACAAAAAGATCACTTCCAGTGACATATTCATAGTGACAGAAAAGGAAATCAAGGCCATCAGATTAACAGCTTAAAAATACACATAAAGGAAATCTAAATGTACTGACATATACTGCACTCCCGGGAAGGCTTGGCACTGTATACAGACGGCCATACTTCCTTATATTGAGGAAGACAGCTGACTTGAGAATTTACATGGCTGCACAGCTTCTAGATGCTCTTGGGACACCCTGCTGATGGAAAAGTTCTTCCTCCTCTTCCTCTTCATGTATGTTTACTCTAAAGACCTGTACTTCTTTGTGCAACCTCCTCTCCCTGGGAATTTTCAATATAACCATCACGTCTTCACCAGCGCCCCAAGAGTTCTGGTTCTTCCAGATGAAGTCGGACTACAACACCAGCATTTGCAGCCCAAACTGTAACAGTCTGGCCTGCCCTGGGTACGTATCTGACTGGTGTCTCCAACTGTTCTGATCATCTCCCAGCCTCCCACTGGTTGATCCTGTCTGGGAGTACTCTTCATGTGAATAAACTCCCCATCAACATTCACCTCTTCAATGTACACATTCTGTGGCTGAGGCAGAATGAGAGGCACCAACACTACCACTCATCTCTGATTCTTCTACCTCAGCTCTCTTCCACTTCCTCTAATGTGAACATGCTTGGGACACTGTCATACGGAAGGACTAAAAGGACCATCAAACTCTCTTCTTTGCATCCACCTCTATCATGAGCATTTCATGCTTCCTTTGGGTCTCATTAATTTCTTTGCACGTGTTTTTGGAAAACTCCAAGTCTTCAGAAAGGCTCTGAAAACAACTCTCCATATCCACTTTAAGTAAAGTTTCATCTGCTATTTTTTTGGTAGCAGCTAAGGAGGGTTCTGGGCAACCTGAACCTTTAGATCCTCCAAGTCTCCTCTCAATTTTTTTTGTCAGCAAGTGCAGTGGCCAGAGCAGCATCTTTAAAGTTCAGGGCTGCTTCCTAGTCTCTTAAACTTGGTCTGGGTTCCATTAAGATCAGATTCTCAGTACGAATGAAGAGCAGCTGGTCATGCTTGGCCTTGCACTACTCGCCCAGCTTGATCTGGAGCTCGGTGTGCTTATCAGCAGTGTCCAGGATATATTTTAGATTCAAGGAAATTTGGCTGTTATGAAATACTAAAAATTTCACCAAAATATTGCTTGATAAATTAAAATGGATGGAGGAAATTATGTAAGCTTGAAATGTCTCAAGTGTCATCATCTAACCTGATCAATATCAAAAAGAGGCTTTTTGGAAACTCAGGGACTGATTTTTAAATGTGGAGATTGGTCAATATTCAAGTTATGGTCAATGCAGGTAACCTATGTGCAAAATATTAAAATAAAGCAAAATAAAACTACTTTTTTTCTCACTACAGGAAATTGGCAGTTCAAAGGATAAGAGCAGTGAGAGATACAGAAGTGCTCTTCTTTGCTCTGTAGAGCTGAAAATATTTTGCTCAATTCTGATTACTAGCAAATGACCTAAATTTTACAATGCTTTGGGGAAAGGGGAAGGAAGGACTCAAAGTGCTCTGAATCAATGTGCAGCCATGTGTAAGGTGATCAGCTGCTGGAAAATGGAGGCCTCCTAAACATTACCAACTAGTGGGAAGTAGTCTCAATGCGGGGATTTGCCTCATGCTACATCTTAGGAATTATTTTAAAGAAGGTGGCCTGATGTTGGAGCATACTGAATAGGTGTACTGGGTAGTGCTTCTGCTAAGAAAGTAAGACATTGCATGTCTCTCAAAACTACATTCAAAACCAGCCATATATAAACTTTTTCTCCAGTGGCTGAAAAATTTAGCTGTTTGTCCAGAAAACTTTAGCTGTCCCAACCTACTACTCAGAGCTGCTGAGCTAATCAAAGTACTCGGTTCATCTAAAAGTAATTCTCTCCCAGATTCTGTTGGCCACAAAAATTTATGAACAAAGCTTCCAGCCTGATCACTTTCAAAAGGAAACAATGGTACTGAACAGGAAAACCACGGCAGGCCACTGATTTTTAATTGCAGTGTCAATGTTCAAAAGAAAATGGGAATATATTCAAATGCTACACACCAACAGTCAGAAACAGACAACAGGAGAACTACTTTCTTGTGGTAGTTCCTAAACTAAGTAACACCAACTTTTAATAGTATAAACTAAAATCAGAACACAGGTTAAGATAAAATATCCTTTCTGTCCTGAAAGGAAGACTTCTGAAAGAGTTTAGCAATAAAGCTTGCTTGGATCGCTTAGGTATAAGCCAGTAAGGACCCTGAGAGGCCTGGAAGACAAGGCGATGGATGGCATGTCATACAAAGATGCACAAGTCTAGCCAGCACTCGTGCTTTAGCCAAAACACCAATACTATATACTGCAAAAATCAAAACTGAGTGGAGTGGAATTCTAAAGTTACCAGAACCACAGTCAGTTATGCAAAGAAAACACCAAATGGCACACTATTGCTCACTTCATTATTGTTGGTAGCTCCAAGTCCCAGGTGATTATTTTTAACTTGAACCTTAATATGATCCGTGGCTCCTTGTTCCTGAGCCCCCAACCCCTGTGAAGAGTGAACACAAAGGGAGTTAGCATTTTTATTAAGTAGAGAGCTCCAATATTTCTTCCTTCACCAACCATTCAATTAATGACTAAACATCTAGGGTAAGGCACTATCCTTGCCCTCAGAGAGGACACAGCCCAACACTAAGGATGTACACATAGTAATGAACACCAATTCTTCAGCCTGAGACCAGATATAAGCTTCCTGCAGACACTAGGTAGAAAACATCTCAGGCTGATGCTCAAGGCAGAATGCTACTACCAAACTCACTGAAGCCCACAGGTGGTGCTACAAGCCTACAGTTCCCTCCATCACTTAAGGTCACAAAAGGACACCAAGGAAAGAGCAAAAGGCACACTCCAAGTCCCCTGCAACAATTAACATTGACTTGTATGGCTCAGGTCAAGAGAACAGTAAACACAGAGCCTAAGGTGGGAAAGGGCTTGCTATAGTGGAGGGTGGCTCTGGCAAGTAATAAAAGGAAAATACACTGATAGGAAGGGGTTGGACCTTACAGGACCTTAGGACTTAAGGTAGACACTTGCATTTGATTTTTAAAGCTCTTGGAAAGCACTGGATCTTATGCAAAGGCATATGATGATCTAATTTCCATATTCTAAAACATTCTGGCTGTCATATAGTAAAGTGGACCAGAGGAGGGTGGTGCTGAGTGCTGGGGGGATGAGGACAGCTGACAGTGGGCCCGGTGCTGGAAAGAGGAACAACGACTGAAAACGCAGGAAAGGGAGACAGGAATCAAGTTCTCTGGCTTAAATATATGGGTAGATGAATGTGTGGGCAGAGGGTACCATCTCCAAAAATCAGGTCAACTCAGGAGGAAAAGATGTGAGGGGATTCAGAGTTTTGGAAAACAAATGATACCCTTGAGATGTGTGCTTATGTAGAAAAGCCAAGCAGGCCAATGAATTTACAGATTTGGAGCTCTGAGGGCAGAACTGGACTCCATATAATTGAAAGCACAACATGGAAGGAAATGAAATCACTGAAGCAGTACACAGCAAAGGGCTTGTGCTGGACCCCAAGGAGATCCAAGCTCAACATGTCTGGGGGAAACAGAGACAGCAAGAAACTTAGATGTGCTGGTAAGGCCAAAGAAGAAAAGAGGAGGAGTACTGTGGATGCCAAGACACACGTATTACAAAGAAGGAGTATTCAATTACATCCCACGATACTAAGGGCTGCGTAACATGAGAACAAAAGTGCCCACTGAGTTTGACAAGAGCACTAACTTGCCAGAGTCAGCAAGGGAAAAAGCACACACACATACAGTCTAGATAGAAAAGGGAACTGAACATTACTGACAGCAATATAAGGCCCTGGTGGTTAAGCACGATTTCATGTGCAACTAATGAAAAAGTAGCATCTAAGGAAGACGCTAATCACAGCAGTTCAAATGGGGAGAGCTGACATTCATGTTTAATTCTAATTTCATCATTTAGTCACTGCAATTTATTTCTCCAAAATTACTTATTGATCCAAAACAAAAACTTATACCAAGCTTCTATGAAAAATGATTCATAATCCCCTGCCATGACTCAGGTGTTTTGATCTTATTTTTGCTTTTCTTCTCTCCAAAATACCTTTCCTTTAGACCACCCCATCTTCTCTAGCATCCTCTGGCCGAACTTGGAATCGTCATTACTCCATGCAGTGTTTCTTGGGTCCACAGCCCACTTTTGCTTTCGCGGGCCTGTAAATGAAAAAGTACCCCTTCAATCTTCTGAACTTGGGAGAAACACACAAATACTCACCTACTCACATACACTATGATGCACATGTTTTATTACATACAGACACCAGACTGAACACACAGTGAACATTAAGAGAAGGAAGCATTATTAGTTTCCCAAATAACTACATGCTCTTAACATATAAACTGACTTTCTAAGTTTAAATTGTTCCCTCTAAATGTGACAAAGCAAAATAAACACCACACTTAACCAACAGCTGCAACTGAAAGCACCTATGGACACCAGCGTCATCATCACCATCAGTAGCAGAGGTGAGAGCCCTTCTCATAGCTATCACTGCCAGGGCTTGTGTGCCAAACCCTATACATATAGTTCTATGTATGTGACACACTCATCGTCTGTATACATTCTAGATTCAATTTTCACAGTAAGCCAATGAAAGGAAGTAAGTATTAAGTTCACCTTTCCGATAAGGAAACTTGCAGCTTAGAGAAAGAAATGTGCCTAATGTCCCCAAGCAAAACCCAGGCCCTTTATACATATCAAGGTTCTACTGACTTCAAAGCTCATATTCTTAATGTACAATATAAATTGTCATTATGATCTTGAGGGGAGTCAACTGTACCTCCATTATATGTACAGTCTACACTCAAGGACAACTTCCCCTCTCACTGAACTGCCCTACACATCATAACCAAGTCACCGAACTTCCAGAGTCAAGGATCTATTTCACTTCTGGCATTTAACATACTATATTGTGCTGGGGCTATTTATATCCATTATCTATTATTTCCTGCTAGACCATATATTCCTGAAGGGTCATATTCATTTTTCTTTGTTTCATTGCAATTAGTAAATATAACACTTTATGTAGCAGTCCCTCAATAAATATGTGAATGAATGAGAAAAATTCATGGGAAGGGAAGAAAGGAGGAAAGAAAAAGAAAAAGAAAAAGAAAAGAGGAAAGGAGCATAACTGAATTAAGGAAATTGCTGGGTCTCATCAAACTATTCTTTTAAATGTATATAAGTAACTGAGCTCTAGAAACTCGAGTTTATTACTGTAGCTTTAAGAAAAATTACTACAGAGAAACAATCACAAAGATTCACAGAACAAAAAATATGAGACCTACAGCCGACTGTGGGCAAATGAGGAATGTGAAGATTTCAGGGTCACCATCACTCACCCACTTCAGCAGCCTCTGATCTCGGAAGTCTCACAACACAACGAAAACATAACACAACCTCTAGTCATAGTGGCTCATTGTGCTGACAATCACTGTGCTGTGAAATCAATTCAGACCCTTAACTATCCATGCCCTAACAAAAAACGAGAAAACCTTTGCATACACAGGCAGAAAAGGCCACTCACAAAGCAAAATGAGTGGGACTCAAATTTACAGTGTTCTGCAATAAAAATTTGACCCAAATGCTCTATTTGGCTTATTACTACTCTCCTTATCGTGGTAGAGACTCAGGATAACACTGTCTCTACAAATAAACATACAAGAGATAAGCCTTGCTAACCAGCATTCTGTATGTAGCTGGTACTGGTGGGTCAGAGTGCTTTGTTTGCCAGGGGTCTTTGACTGCAGCTGAGATGAAGGAGGCATCTTGGAGAATGACTGACCCTCCTCTACAATAAGAAATCCGTGCTTCATATCCATACCCAACACACTGCAATGGTCTATAGGACTCGCTACTAGAGGTCAGCTCCTCTTCCCCAGGGAAAGGCAGGCATCCTCTACAAAGAGGGCCAGAGCAGTGTTTTCCAAAACAAGGTGCTAGGGGAGGGAGGTGCTCTTCACCTAAAAAGGAACAATGTTAAAAAAATATTTATCAACTAGAATTTCCCAGGGACTCTAACATGCAAATGTACAGATCCTGCTGGAGGGCAGACCAGCCATTCCAGACTCCCAAACATAACAGACTAGAATAATTTTCTTTAATCTTGTACAAAGTTTCCAAATTTGGGAAATCCTAGCAAGACGGTGTCTTTGCCCAGAATACTCTCAAGGTCCTAGGTTCAATCTCTAGCGCACACACACACACACACACACACACACACACACACACAAAAGCCAGGACGGTCGGTCTGTCTGAATCGCCGTTCACCAGTCCTGGTATTCCCAGGCTCACTTGTTCCAGCTGCTCAGGCATCAGCTTTACTAAGGCTGTATGCAGAAGAGCTGAGAGCAGGCCTGACTGCTAACCCTGAAAGGCTTGCATACAAGGTTAGCCTCTGCTGGGAACTTGGATTTCAGGCAGGTTCCCACCATTTTTGTAAGAGTGACACACTATGCTTACTGTTGTGCAAATGGTGAGGCTCATGAGTCTGCTCACTTTCTGGGTCTTCCTAGCTGAAGAAAGGAAGCATGTCATGTGCGGTACTATGAGAAGATAAATCTGGAAGTGTGTGCCCAGTTTCCCCATGCTTTGTCCACGCATCCTTCCTTTCACTTGTTCTGCTTTAACATTCTTTAGCTGTATAAATCCGAGCCATATGACTATATGCTGAGTCTTCCGTCTGAATCTAGCAAAACACTGATCTGGGCTGGTCATGAGGACTCCAATATAACCTTAAAGAACTTTGCACGGAATAGCACTGGGCCTCAGGTGGAGAACCCTGAGTCTGGCAATAGGTGTTCACCCAGCCTTTGACAGGGGCTCCTTCTGTTTGGAGATATAACTGTAAATGGTCCTAGCGGGATACATGTGTATGGGACAGCTCCAGGGGACTTCATTTTTCAGCCTCCGTATCTGATATCACAAGGTTTATGCCAGCAGCAAGCTAATTTGATGGGTACATTGAATTCCAACATCAGGGACAGAAGTTCCTCTTTCTTTTTCCAAAGATACATTCAGATATTCAAGAGCTCAAATATAACACCTACAGTCTTATTAAAAAATTATTCAAGGGCTGGAAATTTAGCTCAGTGGTTCTGGCTCCTGCCTTGCAAGTGCAAAAGCCTGAGTTCAATTCCAGTACCGGAAAAAAAAAAAAAAAAAAAATTATTCAAGACATATTTACGATCAAGAAAACTGCAATATAAATTTTTAATGCAATGAGTATCCAAACCATTATAGTGTTATGCTTATAAAATGTAAAAAGTGTCAAAAATTGCCTTGAAAAGGAAAGCACCTATGAAAAATTAGTATCTTGATAAATAACCTGAGTCTAAAATTGTGAATTACATATAGATCAGGAAGTAAGGGTGATAAATAAATTCTTGTCTTACATGAGACAAACTCAATAGAGCAGCATTTGATTAGAGGAATACAAGCTAAAGAATGTTTTTGAGAAATACAAAGAAAACCACTAGTAAATTTACTGTGTTGAAAATATGATCCACATGGAAAAGGGAAATAAATGAAACAGTATGTTTAATAAAGCAAAAATGTTTGCTAGTGTTAAGTAGGCAAAAATAAGTAGGGTGCAAAACTGATCCCAGTTTTATAAATTATCAGAGAATAGTTTCTGGGTAATGAAATTATGGAACCGAGAATTTCTTATTCTTCTATTTTCTAATCTCTAAAAAGTGAATACCAATGCTAAATATTTTATCACTAGAAGCCATAAACATTAATTTAGCAAATCATGAAAAGGGACTACACAAAATGTTATATATTATTATGACAAAGATTTAAAAACTTGGAGTACTGAAGCCAGGCGTGGTGGTGCATGCCTGTAATTCCAGCTCTGGGGAGGCTGAGGCAGGAGGATCACTGTGAGTTCGAGACCAGCCTGGGCTACATAGTGAGTTCCAGGACAGTTGTAACTACATAGTGAGACCCTGTCTTAAAAAAACCAAAACCAAACAAACAAACAAAAAAAACCCAACAACAACAAAAAACAAACTTGGAGTAGGGCCGGGGATTTAGCTCAGCGGTTCAGTGGCCTGCCTTGCAAGCCCAAGGACCCGAATTCAATCCCTGGTACCAAAAACAAAACAAAAAAAAAACTTGGAGTATTGGAGGGGGCAGAACTGAAAATACTTGTGCCTCGTATATTATTGCTATCCACACATACCACTTCAGATTTTTCAAATTGTTAAAAAAAAATAAACAAACACCCATCTCATCGATTTTTAAGCTAACCTCGTGAAGACTGTAAGGAAATTTTAATAGACTCCCAGAAACTAATCAAGAGAACAGTAATAAACAACTAGCAGATACAGGGCCGGTGTTCCAAGTGCTGAATTAGTACTCAAGTTCATCAAAGACTATGAAAACCGTAAGAAATCTCAGCAATCCATTTTCTAATCTTGACTACTTATTTTTGCTGATGAATAAATAAGAACCACAGGGTCGCCATCTAAAACATTTTCCTTTGAATTCCTATTTAGAAATAACAGGAGGCCGCTGCAAAAATGTAAAGACAGAGACAACTAAATCAATTTTGCTACTAACTGAAGGGACTTGGAATAAACTATTTTCCTGATTTCAATTCCTGCTCTTGTAAAAAAGAAGGGACGGTGCCTGGCCCATTCTGTTTTCTGCTAGGAGTGCTTGGGTGGTCCCTTCGATAACAGGATGAGGCCGGCATTTATTTCGCAAAATCCCTATGCAGTTGCTGCTGGTCTGTTAAATAAGCTGTTTCTGTCTGCTGCTCACCGCACAACTTCAAAAAAAGTTCAAGACCAGCTCTTCCTAACTATGACTCGACTGCCACCTGGTGGCAGCAACCTCATCTGCAGGTCCCATCCAGAAGTTAAATGGCCTCTCAAGGGGAGCGGGAATTAGGGGATTTCATTCCCGAGGGTAAAAAGTAAAAAAAAGCAAACAGGATGGAGCACCGCAACCAACACTCTAGTAGTGGAGTAACTGCGAGATAACGAAGACACACCCTCCCGTTTAAAATCACTCTAGCCCGCATGCCTCCCACCCCAAAGGCTTTCTGTTTGACACTTCCAGCCCTGGGTTTTTCTTTTTCTGCGCGCCAGGACATCTTCAACAGCTGGATTCACTGCCCGCGGAGATCCTTCTAGCCTACCTCCAGTTTTTAAATCTGTGGAAACCGAGGCTCGGGGAAGTGAAAGCAGCACTCTGGGTTCCGAAGATGCAGGAGACAGGGCCTGCCCCAGGACCTTAAGTCCCGACTCCAGTTCGAACCCACCGCGAGCGCCTCAGGTGTGGAAGACAGGAGTCTCATAGGGACACTCAGAGTCTACTTTACTTGCAGACCGGCGGCTTTCAGGGAACGGGCTGGGGCACCCCTGCACTCGGCAGGGAGAACCTAGGCCGACTCCCCGGCCCAGACCCCCGGTCTCAAAACGCCTACCCGGTGGCTTTTCCTTCGCGCTGGGCTCGGGCCTCCGCATGCGACACTTACGCTCGGCCAGCATCGACATGTCGACGAGTCCGCGGCTTGCAGGCCTTCGGACAGGCGCGACTGTGGTGACGCGGTTCGGACGAGGAAAAGAGAGCCGTAGGGCCGGACGCGTACCACCGAGGAAATTTAGCTGCCCGGGCGCGTGCTTACGACGTCACGGCGCGCGACCCGCTACCGACCACGCGGCGGCGAGGGGCGGAGCCCGAGGCGTGGCCAGCCGGAGAGAGTGGTGGTTCATTCGCTGGAACCTCCGGGCATGCGCTCTGCCCTCAAACAGTTGCAAGTCTGAGCGGAAGACTGAACAATAATCCTTAGGGTCACCGTAGTCCTGTGAGAGGTGTTCACAGGGAGTTGCAGGAACTCGGCTGGAGAGGAAAACGGCGTTATGGTGTCCTTTTTTTCTTCACGCTCTACTTCCCCCTTCCCCCGGGAGAGACGGATGGATAAGTGATACATATATCTCATATGTTTCTGTCATCGTATGGGATCATGAACAAATTAGTTAAGCAGATAACTAATTCTCTCTTAAATTAATGTAACATAAAGGCAGATTCTTAGTTACTTTTCTCCACCCCGACACGTGCGCTGAATTTTGCCTCTTATCATAACCATCTCTATATCTATACCAGCCACTACCACCTCATGATTTTGAGAATGCTAGGGGCTCCATAAATGTTTGCAAATGGTAATTAAAGTGCCTGTGTCTCCAGGGGAGTTATAATGAGATTATAGCAGTGAAATTTTCAGGAAGACGGGAGTGTTTTTGGACAGGTATCTCTCAGGTGACCTTCAGGTGACAGTGCACGCACACAAGTTTTCCCTGTACAAATGGAAAGTGAACAGAGCAGTGTCCAGATGCCCAGAGACGCTATGTGAAGCTTGTTCTTAATGAAACTCACCCTTTCGGGATCTAGACTAAGATAACTTCTTTTATTTCATAAAAGTTAGAAGAAACACAAAAGAGTATTTACTCTCTGAAACTACCCAGGAAAGGAGAAGGGTGAGGGAGTGCAAGTGAATGGTAGTTTCAGTGGGGAAGAGTAAGATTAAATTAGCGATTCGGACTTAGGAAGACAGGATCATGAACGTTTTAGGATAACTAGGAGATCTGTTTAATTATAGCAGTGAAAATGAAGGCAAGTATACAGTGAGAAGAGTGAATTAATATTTTTCAAGCCCTACATATTTTGGTCTGTGATTCAGGAAGATAAATATAGTCAGAAAGGTTGAGGCAGAAGTCTGTGCTGCTGCTGCTGTAAACCAGGTGATGGGTGGATCAGTATTGCACCATGACTGAACATGCCAAATCCCCCCCACCCCCACACAGTGCTCTGTAAGAAGCTACGAGGAATGTTGCAGAACAGATTCTGCATTTAGGTGAATCCAAAGTTTATTCCAGCTCCAGCATCCTCTGCGCCTATGAAATATTGATTAAAATTACAGCAATTTATCTATAAAAGAAAGAGCTGAAGCTTGTCAATTAAATTTCCCTTACTCCTCAAAGACAGCGGCCTGATACAATACAAAAAGCAAAATCAAGCATTATCATGGCAGTCAGAATACCTGAGAGACCGAATCCTACAACAGGCTTGGTAGTATGGCCATGGACAAATCATTTCACCTCTTTTAGTATCAGTATTCCAATGTATATGTATACATGGGGGGGAGCTGGATGATATTTGAGATGGTTTCCGTGTATAAAAAGACTTTCAGATAATTACTTTAATCCAAGACATACAACTCAGTAGTCTGACCATTAGGAGAATATAACATAAGTGTTCAGAGTGCAGGGCTGGGGGTTTAGCTCAGTGGTACGACTGCCTGCCTTGTAGCACAAAGATCCAAGTTTGATTTATCTCCAGTACAAAAAAAAAA